GACATACTTTGGGTAGATTCATTAAGTTACCGATCTTGCTGATGTTCTTATTGTTATTAGTTTCAGCAACATCAACCCGTCCGATCGAGATCGATCTAGATCGGCCTTACATCCTTTTAATCCCTCGTTTGTTTACCACATTGCGATGATTCTTATTTTAAACAACGGATTACGTTTCATCGGCTGTTCTGTTTCAGTCTTGATCGTGCATAATACGCGGTTAAGGCGTGTCTGATCTTGAGGAGGTTTGCTGGTTAGTAGAATCCGATCTACGGTTTGCTGTTATGGCTGTAACGATCCGGTCGATTCCCACTGATGGCACTTTAGATCGGAGGATGCTAGTTGGTAGGTTTGCTTTCGATCAGGCGTGACCTTGACTGTTTGCTATGCCTGCATCGGCTAGATAGCCGATCGCCTATGCTTTAACGCCTATAGTGTGCGTCCAGGATCCTGTTAAATGTGAATAGATCTATTTACTTTAAAGGTTTGATTTGTTGTCTTTATCATGGCTGTCATCGATCTGGTCGAACCCCACTGTTAGAGATAGCAGGTTAAGTCTGATGAGTTCATAGGTTTGTCTATGTTAAATAGTCGATTGTTCATATGTTGTAGTCCCTTTTCACCTGAATCTACTATTTCAGCCGATTCGCTCGAGCTTTCACACATATAGCATGTCTTTCGGAAAGCCAATCAATGTATAGATGGTTTTACGGATTCTTCGGTTTTAGTTTGTTATTATCATCATAGCTGCCATCGATCCGGTCGAACCTCACTGTTGATAGTAACACATTAGATTCAGAGCGTTCGTAGATCCATTTGTACTAGACAGACTATTTGTTTGCATTTTATATTCTTTCTTGTTAAATTCATCGGCTCAATGCTTTATACTTATTATATTTATCTAGCTGATGATTTCATTTATATCTGCATGCATTATACTCGTCATCAAGCCCACTGGATCACCGGTACGGGTGAGTCGACCACTCACCTGCGTTGCCGACCACGACTAACGTCGTCCGACCACGCACCATGACTAGAGGTTGGACAACGATAGTTTGTGGTCGGCATCACTAGTGTGTGCTCGGCAACACTAGTGAGTGATCGGAAGATCTAGTGGGCTAACACTGGCTGCTTCTGAAGCGGCACACTTGGAACTGTCTGGGCAAGACCGGCATGTTCCACCTTAAATTACTGATAAACTTTCTCTCCTTGTCAATTGCAGGTCAAATTGACTGGCACGCCCTCAGGAGGAATTCGTAGGGTCAACTGTCCTGCGTTGAAGCCAAGCGGATCTCTAGCCATGCTCCACCAAGCAGATCCTTCCGGCTTGCTGTGTGCCCCGGCGTATTGACACGTTTTTGCGCCGACAACGGGGTATTGCATTGGGTAGTATGATGCTAGTGCTCAACTAAAGCCATGATCTTGTAACTTGACTAATGGTATATGCAATAAACACTAAAAGATGCTTTTTAGCAACATGGAACAAGGGGGCTAGAGTATTGGGCTATTTTATGGTGCTCTAGATTCCTCTTCTTAAGGACTTATCTGTAAGCGAATATCCGGGACTTACAGTACAACTGTGAGAGCTACATGGCTCTGGTTTTAGCTTAGTACAAGGACCTTTTCTAGCTTGTTAGAGATTACCTTTATGGCGCAAGAGGAGTGTGTTTCGGGTTGGATATAGTGCGACCTCTGTCCGTTAGTGTATAGGCTGCGTGTCATTATGCATGTCGGAAGGGGAGCCCTACAATCGTAGGGCGCAGAAACCTAGCGGCCCTAACTTGTTAGACGAACTTTTGAAAGACTTCATAGTGAACCCTGTCGACCTTCCTTGGTAGTGGGTGAAGAGGCTGATCACCTCGGAAGAAAGGGTAAATCACGACTCACAGTGAAAGTGTACAACCTCTGCAGAGTGTAAAACTGTTATAACAGCCGTGCTCAAGATCACGAGCGGCCTTGGATCCTTACGGAATTGATGATGAACACTGATGATACTGATGATAAAGATGCTCATTAATGGTTAATTGTTTATGCTATTCATTTTTCATGTTTACCTGATCATGTGTTTATATGGGCTTGTGAATAAACTTGTTGCCACCCAATTGCTAAAAGATGACTCATTAAAATCTAATTGTAGTTAAACCAGTGTCAGCCATTTGAGCCTCATGAACCCCATGTTATATTTATTGAGTACGACATGTATTTAGTACTTACGCTTGCTTTACTTTTTAAATCTTTGGAAAAATCCTGGATGGGTACTAGATTGCTAGAGTTTGGAGGAATTAAGATTGTGATCAACCAGTCCGTTGTTCCTGTGGAATTGGAGTCTTCACCTGAAAATCGGAGTTGTCTTTCCGCTATTTACTGTCTAAGGCTATATCATGTATACTAAGTACGTTATATATTGAGCATTGTCTTTCGATATTACCTTTATTTATAGTTATATATGAGATTTGGCTTCCTAAACTCACATGTGATGTGTATCTGATTTCGTCTCAAAACCGTATGCTATATTGCCGACGGCGCCGCCGCCGCCGTCGCTGGGGAACCTACGAGCGCTGCTCGCGAGGCACGCAGAAACCGAGAGGTTTGCGGAGTCTCTCTGCAGCCTGAGGCACCTCAGGTTCCTTCACCTGGACAGCACGGATATAACGAGGCTGAGGTTCCTGCAGCACATTTGGGCTTCATAACTGCAGCAAGTTTGGTGGCGAGCTCCCTAGGAGCTTCCTTGAGCTGGAGCGCCTGACGTCGCTCAAGGTAGATTGCACAGAGTGTACTGTGCCTAAGGGGTTTGGCGTCTTGACAGGCCTGAGGAGACTCTCTCTGTTCCCGTTCCCGGCGCAGACGGACGGGGACTGGTGCAGCCTGCAAGAGCTAGGGCAGCTCCAAGAGCTCGTCAGGCACGAAATAAGGGGTCTCGCGGCGGTGCGCTGGCTGCCGAGGCCAGAATCCACGACAAGGAGCAGCTTGTCATCCTGGTGCTCATGTGCTACAACCCACCGGAGTCCATCAGCATCTCGGAGGGGATGCGGAAGGAGTGCCAGCGGATAGAGGAGGTGTTTGACCACCTCCGCCCACGTCGTCTTCTCGAGTGCCTGGTTCTCAAGGACTACATGGACATGGGGCGCCGGCTCCCAAGCTAGATGTGCGTGGGGGGCAATATCGACCTGGACAGCCTGACGTCGCTGGAGATGGTTAGCCTCCCTTTCTGCACGCAGCTCCCCGACGGCCTGTGCCAGCTGGCCAGCTTGAAGCGCCTGTACATCGAATATGCTTCGTCCATCCAGCGCGTGGGTCCAGAATTCCAGAGGAACAGCAGCGGGAGCAGGAGGAGGAGGAGCAAGCCCAAGGCAACAAGGACAGCATCCGGCGTGCCCTCAGGGAGCTGGTGCTGTGGGATCTCCCCTGCATCACGTCCCTGGAGAACTTCATTTCGGTGAAGGAGCTCAACGTGGCCAGGTGCCCCCGCCTGAGGATCATCCGCTTGGATAGTACTCAGGAAACATTACTGGCCTATTAGATGATGCATTCACCAGTGCTCACCTAGGTGAACTTGTTTGCCCCCGTGTTACAAGCTGAGCTATCTATACATTGCTACCATACCTTAGTCGTCGATCGCATCGTCAAAGTAATTACCTACAGTAAACTACTGCCGTACAGAAAAGGCCACGTATTCTGGGAAGACCTTAAGTTCTCAGTTCTCACTCCAGCTCAGATTCTGATACTTCCTCCTCCGCCAGTTCAAAGGCATCCACATCTGCAAAGTATGCTCTCTGCTTCTTGACAAATTCTTCTGGTAACTTGGGTCTCCTTACCAGGGGCCGTTTCTGTTCCCAAAATAGCAACCGGTCAGAAAGTTGAAGTAATCTTCCACTTTCGGCCTGCGAGCCGTAGTAGCTGGAGCTTCGGTTCCTTGTTTTACCTTGTATTTCTAGAGTTTTTCTTTTCTCTTGTCTAATAAAAATACGGCAAAGCTCTTGCCGCCTTTTGAAAAAAGAAAGTTCAAGTAACGGCCATGGTAAGGAGCAGAGCTAGTCTTCGAAATGCAGCTTTAACTGTGCTATAAAACTGCTTTCTTTCAAACATTCGTCTCATCATATTGCTATATGGTGTTTGCATAAATGTTTCTGAATAGATGCACTTATGCAAAGGACAGAAGTGAAACATTAACAAAACACAGACTTTATTGCGGGCACAGCTCTATTGGTACTCAGTACTGAGCAATGGCTGAATGTCCTTGTAAAGGAAGGCGTACCAATGCAGGAGGAGCTTCTGCTGGCGTTGTTTGTTGATGTGCTCACGAGTGTTGTGGACTAAGAAAAATTGTAATTTTGCGTGCAATTGGTACTAGTCTTGTAGGTTTAGGTACATCTTTCTAGAAAATAGCACTTCTGGAGTAGGGTAGCCGATGTAACAAAATAGTTGGCCAAATACAAGGGTGAAATCATCAGTATTTTCACGTAACTTGAGCCTGTAAGCAGAGGAAAAAAATAAGGCATCCAACAGAGTTGTCAACATTATCATTCAATTTTAGGAGGGTTTCTCTAAAATAAATTCGACTTTAGGAGGCAACTAGTAGGTGCAAAGGAAGCCATTATAAATATACAATATTGATTTTTGCATGACGATGATCTAACTGATAATGAATCTTTATCATCACTATAACTGTATGTTACTGAGCTATGCCTCTTACTTAAAAAGTGGATTATCTGCACCTTTATATGATATATAACAGAGAAGAAAGAAGACCAGGGAGATACATAGAAAAAGAATGCATTCGGTCATGCAGTAAAATAAATGATTTACACTGCGGCCCTGATCGCGTGCCCTTAAACCTGGCTTGATCCGCTTCTTTTTTTATCCGGAACAGTATTTTCCTCTCACAAATTCCTCCAGATTCCTCCAAACGAACGGGGCCTGCATATCATGATGTACTAATCTAAAGGGTAGAGCACAGATGAAACAAATAAAACAAAGTATGAGGAAGATATGTTTGATACCTGAAGCTGCTTGGTAGGGTGCAGCTGGTTGCTTGTTCTTGGTGCTGGCCTTTCTGTATACCATGCCACACCTGTTCTTTTCGAGTACAGCTGGTTCTGTATGCTTGGTCTACAGGTGTGTCATTCTCCCATTAGTTGAAAACGTGAAATAACCAACCTTCAAATTATTGAAGGTGCTTGACGCAGAAAATCTGAGAGGGGAAAAAATGTCAATGAATCAGCTGCAAGAACAAATTGCATAGAGCCATTGGAAGTGAAAGGAAAACAAGCATTAGCAATTGCTCCTTGTGTGTTGGCGGGGTGCTAGACCACAAGACCGGGCAGCCGGGGTAGGGGCATAGATAATGTGGTCATGTTCCTGTGCTTGGACTGATCAATAAGAATAATCAGCCGTAGTTTAATAAGCTGATTGTCGCTAGACCACAAGACCCGGGTTCGTAGTTTAATAACGGGTGAAAAACCCGCGACAACCGCGATCGAACGGCCCATATCGCATTGTCGCTAGATCCTACGGTTCGATGGTTAATGGGCGACGTGGCACTATCGGGTGCCCGAGCTTGGACCCTGGATTCGAGAGGAAGAGAGAGATCGGTCCCGTGCTCTGGCGTCCTACCTCCAAGCGCCGCCACACCAACGCACGTTGTGACTTCCTCCTCCCGTGTGGCAGGCAGTCCCACGACTCCCTCCGCCGCATGCAAGTCCGAACACCATGTATAGATATAATAATCGGATGTTTAAATGCTAATCAGGACGACTAAACATGAGCTACTTATAAAATTAATTGATAAGCTATAACTAATTCGTGAGACGAATCTATTAAGCCTAATTAATCTATGATTAGCACATGTTTACTGTAACATCACATGGGCTAATCATGAATTAATTAGGCTTAATAGATTCGTCTAGTGAATTAGTCACAATTTATACAATTAGTTTTTATAACTACCTCATGTTTAGTCCTTCAAATTAGCATCTAAACATTCGATGTGACACGGACCAAATTTTAGTCAGGGTATCAAATACCCCCGTAGTTCTGTGAACCCTTTGTTCCTTTTGGCCCCGTTCGCGTGCCCTTAAACCCGGCTTGATCCACTTATTTTTTCATCTGGAACAGTGTTTTTCTCTCACAAATTCCTCCAGCATTCCTCCAAACCATCCAGATTCCTCCAAAATTCAGACAAGCAAACAAGCCCATGATAAAGTTTGGAAAAAAATGATGAGTTTGTGATGGTAATCTCATTGTTCAGACCCCTAAAGAGAGCAAAGGAACAAGCCTTGATAACTGAGAACTCGGGTAGGGTCATTATGAGGAAAAGCAACCAGATTGCGGTCATGCTTACCTTTTTAGCTTCACGACAAGCAGCTGACGAAGAGATGGGCCGAATATTCTTTTTCCTGAAGATAAGTAAGTTTAACAGTTGGGCAGACCCAGTGGCGGAGGCTCCCACGTGAGTGGGGTCTGGGGAAGGGAAAAACCGAGGCAAGCCTTCCCCACGCAAAATCTGTATCTGTTAGATATCAATGAAATACGATGAACTAAAGGATCCCTAAAGTCCTGGATTCTGAATATCCTATGCTTCTGTGTTCTGACACTATATGAAATATATAGAGAAAATTACCGGTATGGTCCTGTGAAACTCACTTAGTTCTTCCATGGCCCTAAAAACTTCAAAGTTCCTTGTATGGCCCTGTGTTCGAATTTCAGTGCCCTACACGACACTACCGTCACTTTTAGACACTAACACTGTTAAGTGACATGCGAAATGACTATAATACCCCTGTTATAGAAAATGAACTGATTCGTTACGTGACACTGCTTCCTGGTATGCTTATTCTATCAGAAATGTGAAAGACCTTACAGCACAACGTCTTCTAGTCTATATCACTATATGTTAGTATACAACAAGCGTTTAAGACTTAGTATTATAAGAATTCCATCATCTGAAAATAACAAGAAAGTAACGTCATATCAGTCTGGGACAACCAGGGGCTGAACTCTTGTTACCAAGAAGTGTCTTCGAACTAGAGTGATTCTAATGCCCTGCCCTTTTCAAGTAAAGAACTATTAGTTCTCTCAGGTAGATTAGGAATGTGCATTACACAAAATTAGGTATACTTATCATGCTATGGTGTCACTCTGCCCTTTCAAACATGAACTTATTAGATTGCTACAAACAATTAGGAATGCGCATCTTTGAGGTTTCCACACAAAACAAAAACAGGATTAACTGGTCCAAGCTACACGAGAGGTCTCTGACACCCACAGAAGGGACTATCATTACTCTATCGGTGTCCAAATCACAAACAATTGCACAGCGGAGATATAGTACTAACTGTGAAGTGGTACTGTATTGAATATACCACCAACGCATGACATCAGTCATAGGTAACAAATACGAGTTTCTCACCCGATATTCTTCGTGGATTTTCCAAGAGGCGGGCAACTTGCCGCAGCACCGACAGGTTCCTTGCCCTTGTTGGTGATGGTGGGGTTGATCCTTCCCTCGGCCTCAGCCTCAGCCTCGGTAGTCCTGTGCCTCACGTAAACCGTGCAGATGGTCGGCGATTCAAAAACGCTCCCCACCTCGTCGAGGACTGCAAACCAAGAGCAGCATTAGAAATCACAGCACAATGATGACCGAAGATGCCACCACCACACCCAGCTGCGGCGGATCGAGCGCAGATGTGAGATGCAGATTCCCTCACCGGCGGCGAAGGACGGCTTGGGCGCGGGCGTGACCGTGGTGGAGGACGACGGTTGGGGCGCGGGCGTGACCGGGGCGGAGGAGGAAGGCTCGGGCGCGGGCGTGGCCGACGAGGAGGAAGATGGCTTGAGCGCCGGCGTGACCGAGGCGGAGGAGGAGCAGGTGGAGGAGACAGCGGAGGCGTCGGAGGGCGCGGGGAGGGGCCGGCGTGCAGTCCTTCTGGGCTTGATCGGGGTAGGGGTCTCGGGGCGGAGGAGGTTGGTGACGTCGCCGAGCGGCACTGCCTTCCGCTGCCGCTTGGCAGCGCTGGTGGAGGGCCTCATCGGATCTCGCCCGCGTGCGGGGAATGGGAGTTGGGGGTTCGGGCTGCGGTGGATTTGGAGGAGAGGGCGGCGGTGAGGATTGAGGGAGAGCGGGGAGTGAAGCGACGGAACGTGTGCGAGGCGGAGCAGCGAGAGTTCCAGAAGGGGAAGGGGAAGGGGAAGGGGATCGCACTATGGAAGGCTTGGAGAGACAGAAAGATTGGAGAAGGGGTGTCCGTCCCTCTTGGACTGAGGTGGGCTGCTGGACACGCTCTTTTGGGCTTAATTAGGCCGGTTGTTCCAGCGATTTCACTGACTTTATTTTATCGGCCACAGAGCACAGCCCATGGTCTGGTCTGCGGGTTGGGCTGCTTGCTCCGAGCCTGTGGCACGGCACAAAGAATCGCTGATTTCTCTGCAATACGCACCACCCATTGTTAGTTCAATTCTCAGCTCCGTAACGATGCGGTGGTGAGAAAAATATCAAGCATCCCAATCCATTTGGTTGGATTCTCGCGGTCAACCAACTATAATTGAATTTTAATAGTATCGACACACGGTCTTAGAGCCCATTTGGGACAGCTCCTGAGCTCCAGATTCATCAAAAATAGCTTTACTTTATAAAAAGTTTGCCAAACAATCTAGCTCTATCAAATTCAGATCCACAAAAACTGTAGATCTGAGAGCCAGATTCACCAAAATAGTGGATCTTCTCAAGGGGTGCTCCATCAAACTCAAATTGGTAGAGTTGGTGAAAATTACCCACCACTGCCACTCGTTACACAGATACCGATTCGTTTCTATTTTCATTCCTCTTCCTCCATACTCGTGACCTTCTTCCTCCGTCGTGACTACGTGCTCGCCTCCACCGCGCGCGCCCTACTTCGCCAACGCCCCAGACGCGCGCGATCGCACCCTGCTCCGCCGACGCCCTAGACACACGCGGGCGAGCCCTGCTGCCCCGCCGTACTCGTCCCGCCACCTACGCTAGCCCTGGCCCCGACCGTACCGCGCGCCTGCGATTGTCCCGTGAGCTCCGGCCGCCACCCCCGCCCCTGCGCCCACCCGAGTCCGGCGAGGCCCCCGGTCGCCGCGCTTGCCCCTCCCCTCTGCGTCCTCCCTGGCCGCCGCGCCTGGCCACGCCACTCAACGTCCTCCCTAGCAGTTGTGCCTGGCCGCGCCCGCCCGTGGCTAGCCGCCGTCCACCCCGCGCCCCGCAGGGCCGGCCAGAGAAAGAAGAAGACCGTGAAAAGCTTTTCTCACACATTGACAGGAGGGACCTATCCCCAAGGGCAAATCTGAGTATTCCAAACAAAATGCCCTTGCGTGGATCAGGAGCTGCTGTGTTACCCAAACGGTTCTCCGGTGGATCTCAGATCCACTAGTGGAGCTGCTCCATGGTGAATCCTAGATCCATATTCACTTTTTCGGTGGTAGAGCTGTCCCAAACAGACCATTAATAAGTTGGATTGTCAAGATGGTATTACATTAGCATCTCTTGTAGGGTTGGGTTTACTAGAAATCCAGATTGGATAGGGTTCTTTTGCTGTTGGTTTGAATGGATTCAACTCATGGTTTTTATGTTAAGTTGTAGGTACCTATTTATGGATTTCAAATAGGTTAAGTATACTTTAAAGTGCAATCGCGTCTTAATTGTGGGTTTTTGTGATAATGACCTCGTAATTAGAGAACTAATGAGATTTATCGAGATGACAAGCAGGGAATTTATATTCGAGGATGCTACACGAAACGGAGGAGCCCCCAACTACAAATATAGATGGCTTCAAACTTAAAGGAGGTTTAAATTCTTTTATATATTGAATTTGAGCATATGAAAAGCCGTATTATAAAGAGGGGCACAATACTTAAGAAAAGCCGTATTATAAAGAGGGGCACAATGCTTAAGCTAATCTGTGCTACCAAGTGATCAAACAGCCACATGCATCCTCAGATTCATAGCTAAGACAGTCTACACTTTACTATTATCCTTACTGTCTTGTGGGGTGCGAGCTCCGACTCGTCCGACCCCTTGGGTGCGGGCTTCGGTTCGCCCGACCCTTTGGTCGCGGGCTTCAGCTCGCCCGACCCCAAGGCCGTGGGCTCCGTCTCATCCGACACTAAGGTCGCGGGCTCCGTCTCGCCCGACCCCAAGGTCGCTGGTTCCGGCTCACCCGACCTTTTGGTCGCGGGCTTCGTCTCGTTCGACACTTTGGTCATAGGCTCCGGCTCGCCTAACCCTTTGGTGGCGGCCTCGTTTCGCTCGACCTCTTGGTGGAAATGTCCGTTGGGGTCAAGGGTATATATATACCTTTTCTTTTTCTCCCCAATGGCTATATGCGATTTAAGTGACCGTTGAGGCCTAGGGGGTATGTATACATTTCCCATTCTTTCCCAACGGGATAGACAAACGAACCAACCTGCTCCCTTCTTCCTCACTTTAGCACACTCAAACACAGAGCAGGAGCTCTCTCTCTCACTCCATTGTTGACCTCAAGCCCCCAAACAAATCTATTGATTTTTTTCCATCAATCCTTGAGGGATAAGGGTCCAAAACTTGATAAGATAGCGTCTCTATTGATTCCTAAACTCTAAAGAACACTTGGTTCACGTCTTAGCCGGTGGTTGTGTTTGTTACTCTTGGAGCTTAGATCCTAGCCGGCTAGAGCGTCGCCCGTGGAACTTGTCAACTTGTGTGGGAGCCTTGGGAGGTTTGTAACCACCTCTTGCAGTGAGTAAAATCACCCATCGTCTCAAGAGTTCACTCTCTTGATTTGAGAACGAGGTAGGGTTGTAAATCCATAAGCCTTAGTAGTATACCTCAACAACGTTGACATAGGGCAAGCCTAGGTGGTGAGCTGAACCACGGGATAAATTCTTGTGTCATCTTGTGCTTGTGTTGCTTCACTTGTGTTCTTGTTGTTGTTGAGGTGATTTCTAGAATCGAGGCCCATGTGTGGTGTTTCCACCACTTTCAGCTGTCAATTTGTAATCTACCACCCTGCAGGAAGCTAAGAAATTTACCCTATCTAAATTTTGTTGAGTAGATTTTGAACTATAAACTAATCTCTCCTGCAGGTGTGACAGTGCTGCGCTCACAGAGCGACAATGCTGCGGACGAATTTGATTTCGGTTTAAGTTAAATTTTTACAAGCCTATTCACCTCCCTCTAGGCATACCAGAGATCCTACAGTACTAGGTGTTGCAACCTTGGTGGCAATATATAGGGTAACAATGTAGAATCCATGCGTCCATCTAGGCAGTGCTAGTTGGAATGATATAGCTTCCTGTTAAACTATATCATTTCCAATAAGTTTTAGTAAATTTTGCTAAAAAATAAGGTGTGAATATGAGCTTTTTATTTTAGTGGTTTGGTGTCGTGGGCTCGTTGCTACCAGGACGAGTAATTAGAATATTAATGTATGAGTTTTGGTGGCCAAACAGACACAAAAGTTTATTCTGGTTGGGCTCGAGCTCAATGCTCAGCGTCGCCATCGTCAGCGGCGCGACGAGTCGTCACACTGGCGAGTCGCTCGGCTTCCTGTGCGAATCACGTCCTTATGGCGCGGACAACCGAGCCGACGTCAGCGGACACATATAGCAGTTTTTTTTCTCTTCAATTGGTTTTTCGAACTAAAATTTAGTCTCTGTCACGTTGGATGTATGTATCAATTAGGAGTATTAAATATAAGCTAATTATAAAACTAATTACTCATATTGAGGCTAATTTGTAAGACGAATCTATTAAGCCTAATTAGTTCATGATTTGACAACGTAGTGCTACATTAAACATGTGCTAATGATAAATTAATTAGGCTTAATAGATTCGTCTCGTGGATTAGCTATGACTTCTGTAATTAATTTTATAATTAACTTATATTTAATCCTTCTAATTAACATACGATGTAACTAGAACTAAACTTTAGCTCAAGAATTAGCCGTGCCACTGCCAAGTGGAAGAATTTTTTTCAATAATATTGTTTTAATTCATAATTGCAAATAAAGCATTTGGATACAAAGAATTATATATATAGTATCATGTCGGCTACTTGAGAGCCGATAGGGAATCTGTCGGCAACTAGGGGGCCGACCGGACTCTATCAGCATCCCAGTAGCCGACTGGGCCCCGACATTGCTGTAGAGGGCACTGCAGCGGCCCTGTCGGCCTTCCGATGGCCAATAGGACCTTGTCGGCCTTCCGCTGGCTGACAAGCCCTAAAATATATGCCCGTCTCCTCCGTCGTGCTCTCTCTCGCACGCACCGCCGCCGCGTTGCCCCTCGCCGGCGGGCCTTGGGCAGCTACCTGCCCGCCGTGCCGCCCCTCGCCGTCGGCCGCCGGCGTGCATCTTCTCCGTCACGCTCTCTCTCTCTCACTCGCGCTCTCTCTCTCTCTCTCTCGATCGCCGCGCGTCATCCCCTCGTCTTGGACCTTGGGCATGACACTGTCTCGCGCCCCACTGAGTCAAGGCATGAGCCCTCTTCGGCGCCTACTCGCCATCATGGCAAATCTGCTCGGGCTACACAGGTAATTTTTTTTTAGTAAATTTAGATTTTCTTTTTTAGTTACATTTTTAGTTAGATTTTGTTAGTTTAGTTGGTTTAGTTAGATTTGGTTAGGGTTAGATTAATTAGTATATTTAGTTTTTAGTTGTAGATTAGGGTTAGGGTTAGTTTAGTTTGATTTTGTTTTTTTAGGTAGTTTAGTTTAGTTTATTTAGATTACTTAGTATATTTAGTTAGTTTAGTTAATTAGATTACTTGGTTAGTTTAGTTTTAGGGTTATTTTTTTAGGGTTAGTTTTAGTTGTAGATTAGTTTTTTAGTTAGATTTTTAGGGTTAGTTATTTTTAGTTAGGGTTAGATTTTTAGGGTTAGTTAATTAGATTTTTAGTTAGTTTTTTAGGATTATTTTTTTTGGTTTAGTTTCGGATAATGCTTTTGGATTACGGCTAGTTTAGTTAGTAGTTTCCTGTTAGGGTTAGTTTTCTTTTAGTTTATTTTGTTTAATTAAATTAGGTTTACAT